ATAGAGTAAAAATACAGAGCTTACCTGCATCAACAAACTCATTGACATATTCAGTACAATTGCTTCCATTTATCTACAATAACAGATAAATAGTCACACACATACATACGTTTGTGGTGAAAACTAACAATTTCATGATAAAAATATTACTTCTCTGGACATATTGTCCCAAATTGAGCAATTGTGTAAGCTAATTTAATTAAAATTGACAATCCAACAGGTGAAACATTACAACAAACAATTGGTGTGCACTGTAACATACCTAAAAACAGGAAAGCATATGTATTACATATAAATAAAAAGAAAGTATAGAAAAAGAACAAAACGTTGAGATTGGAGGAACACATGAACGTATCGGAAACAAAGAGCAAAAAGATCAATATTTGTCACCTGAAAAAACAAATTAGATTCAAACCGTCATCGCATCACCAACCATGACACCTAATTACAAAAAGTGGGAGCAAATGGAAATAGAGATAAGTATGAAATCAGAAGTTTGAAAGCTTAGGGTTCAATACCTTTAAAATCCTTCTTATGTTATGAAATGATCATCCCACACTTTCAAATTCATCCACCCACCTGAACCACAGCCAAGATTAATGGACTATAATTGTTGACACTTATATCCTATAGCCTACAAAGAAAAAAAAAACTCCAAAATTCATAAGCTATGAAGCGTTATTCAGAAAACACAACAAAGTAGAAAACCAAAAAAAAAAAAGATTACGAGATACTTACAATCGATTCGATATGAAAACATATATTTGTAATAAGGAACCAATCGATTGGTCCTACTCAACTTCAAAAGGAAAACCGGAAAAGAAATCAGGGGTGGGACAGTTACACTCAAATAGAAGTGTAACCTTCTTCAAATCCGAAATTAGGGGTGACATACCTGGAAATCAAATATCGACGTTCATACCCTTTCAAATTCTTCGAAGCCTACATAAGAATGGAATCAAACCAGATATCGATCGATAGTAGTGGAGGGTACCTTTGATTCAGAATCGTCGATTCCACTCAGATGATTGTGATGAACGACAACGACTTTGGTGATGTTAAAGCCTTGGTACTGTTACAGAGAAGAAGCCTAATCCCTTAAATCAAACCCAATCACCCATCAACACTCAACATCATCAACAGGACCGAAAGCTGCGATATGGTTTTTCAGCCAGGACAGAATCGTCGAGGCAAAACATCAGAAGAATAGAGATGAATATTCAAAATTGGAAGAGCGAAGGAATTACTCTGGTGGAGAACGGGTATTCCATGCGATTGACGGTAAATAACATTTTCCTTCTTCTGATTAGAACACCATGGGATTGGGGAAGTAGGTGGTCAGAACACAAAGTGGAGAAGGTATCGAAGATGTTGGTGTTAGTGGTTTGGTGATGGGAGTGAGTGAAACAAAATCAGATAGAGCGGTAGACACAGTGAGATAGTCGGTTTGATAACCATCGCAAACATCGATGGCGGTGGCGCATACAAAAAAAAGCGACAGAGATTACCTGAGAAAGAAAAGAACAACAGAGCAGAAGGCAAGTCGGTGAAGATCTATCGAAGAAGAAATCGAAAGAAGCAAAAAAGAAACACGTGGAAAGTAGATCCGAGAAAGAAGACACGTATCATATGAAATAGGACGTCAGCAAGGAGATGTGAACAAAAAAAAAATTGCCAACGCAACATGCATAATAAAGAAGCTAAAAAGATGCCAAACCCCAACAGCAAGTACAACATAGTAGGAGGATTAAATTTGACAAAACAGCCTACAGAATACTGTTGCTAAGGTCTGAGAACTTTAATATATTGTATAATAATAATAATAATAATAATAAATATTATTATTATTATTATTATTATTATTATTATTATTATTATATAAACGTTTAAACAATACTTTCAAACCACTATGCACAGACAGGGGCCAGACATAAAACACCGGAGGGCAGGACCATTTTGGCGTATAGCACTTCTGAAATCCAACAACCCTATGCGGTCCTTTAAACCAGATTCCCCGTACCGTGAATAATTAAAAAGATATTATAACGACACTTATATAAGTCATAATAATAGCTCAAATATTTATTATAAATTTATAATAACAATACTAATTTTAAATATAAACTATATTTAAAATAGGGTAAGCATAACTTACTTACAAGGGGATTTTAGCTAGGAGTCGGGCTCTGCAGGGGCAGAACTTCATCGCTGAATACTTCGAAGAAAGATTCGTGCAGCGCTTCAGCGCTCACCTTACTATACTAAAACTGCAGAAAGAGAAGTCGAATCACGAGGGACCGAAATGCTCGGCGGATAAGGAGAGAAAGACTCTTGAATCAAGAGAATGGTGCAAGAAATATGAGAGCCCAAGCCTCTTATTTATATTAATTGAATTTACAAAAACTACCCTCTATAATTACTTAATGACCTTATAGTTATATAAATAACTAAACACCCATTCATAATACTATTTTAAACAGATTTAACGATATTTGCACTAAAATAATGTCGAAAGAACTCAACATTAGTCTTATAATGACCGCATCGTTGATACCTTTCTAATGATATATACATATGTATATATATATGTGTACGTATATATGATTTATACTTTATTTTAATACGTAAATATGCTATTATAATTTGTAACTCGTTTATACGAACTCCGTTTTTGACGTTATTTATATCCACACGTAGGTGGAGACGTACTCTAAAACTTTACTTTAGACTCCGTCGGCTAATTTTGACTTTATTTTTAAAGTTATATTTTTAACAGGTCGAGACAAGATTGGTCCGTTAAAATCTCATAACTTCTTTATCCGATGTGCATTTTCGTCTGTCTTTTTATCGTTACGATACTAATAACAAGATCTTCGATTCTCCGTTTAGGTTGTGTCGGCTAAAAACCGTTCGATCTAATACTCGAACTTCGGGTTGTACACCGCTAAGCCGAAACTTCGAAAAATCATAACTTCCTCATAAGAAGTCAGATTTGGGTGTTCTTTTTATGGACGCTCTCAGGTTCACATATTATACGACTTTCATTTAGATTACTAAGGCTAAAAGAAGCTTTATCATAAATTCACTATTTACGTCTCCTGGTGCCGCGCCGGTTTTGCCGTAAAACTTTGACGGGCCATAACTTCTTCGTTATAACTCGGATTTCGACGCTATTTATATGTACGGAAACCTTATCACATATACTAAAACTTGGTTGAGATTATTTATTCTTAATAATCTTTTGTCGAAAAGTCGTTTTCGACCCCTATTGCCTCTAAATTGATGAAGCTGAAAGTTCATGTCCATGAATAAAAATAGATATTTTAGATTGAGATTGTGAGGTTGCACACAATAGTTTCCTATGATATTACTTTGTTGAGAATCCTATATATGATGGGAACATGTTTTGATGATGGCTCCAAATAAACAGCGAGCCTTCGGTAAAAATTTGGTGGAACGTATATCAGAGTTATACAAGCAGCCAACCTTTACCGAAAATTTGGTGGAATAGTTATATAACGATGACAATAATTGTTTTATTATTTAGGTTTTTTTTTTTTTTTTTTTTTTTTTTTTTTTGAATTAGGAGTTGTGTTTTTTTTTACTATGTACGTAATTTCTGGAACTTTTAGTTTAAGTTACTGAAATTTTTAATTTTTATATGTTAAATGTTTTAAAATTGATATTTAAAATTATTTTTTAAAAAACAAAAATAGGTGAAAGTTTAAAGATGCCTATATCATAGATTAACGAACGAGGAAGTTTAACGCTTTAAATGAAGTGAAATACTGATATATATAATATATATATATATATATATATATATATATATATATATATATATATATATATATATATATATATATATATATATATATATATATATATATATATATATATATATATATATATATATATATATATATATAGGTTTAGGTTCATTTGAGACCATTCTAATTTTGTGAGACCGTGAGACCAAATGTAAAAATAATTTTAAAATGCAAAATAAATGAAAAAATCCAAAAATTCTTTTTTTAAATATTATTTTCGGAACTTGAATTAACTAAAAAAAATATAAAAAAAATTCTGTTTTTTTTTTTTTAAAAAAATACATGAAATATTCTAAATAGAATATTACACTGACATATTCTAAAAAATAATTTTAAAATGCAAAATAAATGGAAAAATCTAAAAATTCTTTTTTTAAATATTATTTTCGGAACTTGAATTAACTAAAAAAAATAAAAAATAAATAAAAAAAAATTCTATTTTTTTAAAAATACGTGAAATATTCTAAATAGAATATTGCACTGTACATATTCTAAAAATAATTTTAAAATGCAAAATAAATGGAAAAATAAAAAAAAAAAAATTTAAATATTATTTTCGGAACATGAATTAACTAAAAAAAAATAAAAAAAAAAATAAAAAAATGCGTCTCACGGTCTCACAAAATATAGGTGGTCTCAAATGAACTTAACCCTATATATATATATATATATATATATATATATATATATATATATATATATATATATATATATATATATATATATATATATATATATATATATATATATATATATATATATATATATATAATATGAGTTATATCACATACATATATACTATTAAAGAATCATAATTAAATGGATGCTTCACAACAACAAACTTAGCATCTTAAATTTTAAATCATATCTAAAACGTATGATTATATAATACTATGTAACTTCATAAAAGAAGCTTTCTAAACAAACAACGAAAATTAATCATATTGATGAAATTTTGTTGTAATTTAATATTGATAAGCGATAACAGTTATTATGAATTACTACTTTTTCACCAAAAATAAATCACTACACTTTCACTTTGGTGAGAATTTGAGGAGCAGCAGTCGGGTACGCACCAAAGGACTCACGCAGTATTTTAACAAAATAAAATTTAACCTAATTACTAGTTTTTGTAAATTTTAAGACCTCCTCTACGGACACACCAGCGTTCTAAAGGCTCATCTGAATGCAAGAGGAAACACCGAATCCGTCGGGTCGTGGATTAGTTACATGATAAGCATCACAATTGACTGCACCTCCCAAGAATTCCGCAAGTATTGGTGCTCCCCTTTTCATTGCATGTTCTAAACTCTCCATTACCTGAAAACATGGCAAATCAATAGTCACATAAAAGAAACATAAAATTTGTTAGAAAAACCCGATATAAATAAACTTGGATCAGTAAGAGTTGTGAAACACTTTCAGATTAAAACATTTTGAGGGTACACTCAAAATCTTTAATTGGATGAAACTCATTGTTTTTCTAGAATGGAAAATGAAGAAGACGTTATGAAATCTGTACCCAAAATGAATCCGAAATTAATTATATAACAGAAACTAACTTCCTATCGGAAAACTACCATATGGTAGTTACAGGAAAACAACTTAGTATCCAAAAAACGGTCATATTACCTATCAAAACTAACATAAAACCGAGTCTATAAATGGATCACAAAACCGGGTGCTATACAAAAAGTATGGGATTTATGAGACATTTTTTATATAGTGATATAACTCATATAAAAAGTTTACGCGTTAACCTGGCAGCTCGACTACAGCCAGGGGCTCTGCCCCTTGGACCCTTCTCCCAGGGGCGTTGCCCCCGGACACCCATCAATTTAGGAGCTTCGCCCATAAATAGCAATATACTTTCAACAATGACAAAATCAAACAAATGTGTACTTCGCACCAAACTAATTTTTTCGATAATTATCAAAATGACATTGATCAACAAATTAGCCCCATTATATTTAAATAATATTAGTGATATAAAATCACCAACAAAATTATGTCAATCTACGCTCAATATGTGTAAGATTTATGTGGAGTTTTCTTGATTTTTAGTACTCTCCAAAAACGAGGTTATTGACAGGTTTATAGTGCGTCACAGGGTGCAAGTAAAATTACCAAAACACCAGCACCTTCACCTATGACAAATCCATTTCTATCTTTATCCCATGGCCTTCTAGCTGTTTGTGGATCATGGTTTCTTTTAGACAATGCGTTAGTAGCAGCAAGACTTGCGACTCCAATAGGATTAAGAGCAGCTTCACTTCCACCAGCAATCATCAAATCAGCCTCACCTTCACGAATATGATTAGCAGCAGCACAGAAGCAAAAGTTCGATGTCGCACAAGCAGCTGAAATGGAGTATGCTGGTCCCATAAAGCCAAGATGATGAACTGACGTCATGTTTTGTAGGTCGTAAGGTGTGAAAAGAGGTGATATTTTCTCATAACCTCCCTCCATCAGCGAATCTGATGCATCAGAAAAAACCGACATGCCTCCCATTCCTGTTCCAATAAGTACCCCAGCTCACTCGTTATTAATCTGCACACCATGAAAAGGTAATGTAATCCATTGAATCAAATATATATAAAGTTCTTTAGAGAATTAGAAACCTTGGAGAGTTCATGGACTCCAAAAGCAGCATGTTCAAGAGCTTTTTTCCTGCTACAATGCAATACCGTAAATGTTGTAAATAACAAACTAATAGACGTGCAAGGAAACCGACAAATAATATTGAGAATTATATGTCGATTAGTTGCGAATAATAGATCCAATTATTATTATTATATTTACCGAGTTTTGTCCAGAAACCAGATCTATCCTTCTCGATTAGATCCGATTATATGAAAGGTAGAAGAAGACAGTCCTGTTATTGGACGAATTAAACACAAAACAGAAAAGTAAAACCGACCTGTTGATTGCTGATCTTGATCTTGAAACAACTGCACGGATCAGACTCCTGTCCTTAAAGGTTTTTACTTCGCTTGTACTGGCTGTAAGCAACAGAGTAAAACCCCAGGATTTAATGCAGCTTTATCGATAGTGCAACAGCACTGGAAATCGATAAACACAAAAACCGACTACTTGGAAACTAGAGAAAAAACGCAGAGAGAGGGAGGAAGCTTTCAGATTTCGAGAGTATCCATATGGCTCCTAGGGAGCTGTATTTATAGGTATCGTAACCCTAGAAGGCATCAAATGGGCCCCCATAGGCCGGCCCCAGAAACCCTAGGGCGACAGCTTGCTCTCCAAACAAGCTGTTTCTTGATCCTTCTAGAATACCCTGACTTGGCCTCCATGAAGTCAACGACGGTCAACCATTTGACCGAATCGGTCAAACCGGCTTGACCCAAACTCGTCAAAAATAAAAGCTCCTCATCTCCCAGCGACCGATGCGTCGTGCAAAGTGCGCCTAAATCACGCCATTTCGCGCACTCGCGGCGTCGGCTAGTGCTAGGCTAGGCTAGGCGTGCACGTGGGCTTGGCCCATTCCTTTGATCCACTAAAGCCTTTGAAGGCTTACCAAGGGAATAGACTTATAAACCCACAAAAGTTTCTTCCCCCCACCAATGTGGGATACAAAGGAAATTTCCAACTTGCAATTCCTCTATATATATATTAAGTTCCAACAATCCCTCACCAAGTTGGTAAGTTTCCTTTCACTCAGACAGATGATGTCACTTGGGTGTCACAAAGATTAAACCCTAGTTTAATGAGAACAAACAAGAAGAGACCGATTCAATGGTATCCTTATAGGTTTAAACCATGAACCTAAATGACCTCTCCGGCTTACCCCCACACATCACAAGTCATATTTGTGTTCTCCCTGAGCGTTATTATGGTCATGCGCTATAAATCCTTTTCATGACCCTCTAGAAGATAAACCACTAATCTTCACTTGAGGCGGCACCACCTCTAGATCATATAGGCAAAGTTTTACAACATCTTCATTGCTTAGATGTCTCCAAAACTATGTTAAGAGTTGTAACTCAACCTCGTTCTCGGCAACGACGTACTATCCTACCTCACATGGATCTATCATGAATGATAGTACCTTCTATCATTAGTGATTTCGTTGTTACCCGTTAAACTTGAAAATTAGGAGCACTAATGTCAAGTTGGGTTTCCATCACGAAACGATTCTATTGTGGTTTTAGGCCCATGACTCTCGTGGTAGATGTAACCAAATCTCTCGTCAGAGGTTTGGTAAACGGATCTGCCAAGTTCTTACTTGTCTTGACATAGACAACCTTGATGGTACCACTTTCAATTAGTTGTCTCACAAAATTGTGTCGCAGACCTACATGTCTTGACTTCCCATTATATACCGCATTATATACTTTAGACAGTGTGGCCTCACTGTCACAGTACATGGGTATTGAAGGCATCAGAACATCCCACAAACGGATATCCATAAGTAGATCTCGAATCCACCCTGCCTCTTTGCCAGCTGTTGCTAAGGTAATTAGCTCCGCTTCCATCTTTGAATGAGCTATGCATGTCTGTTTCTTGCTCGCCCAAGAAATAGCACCACCAGCTAGAGTATAAATCCAACCACTTGTTGATTTTGAATCACTAGTGTGATCAATCCAGCTGGCATCAATATAACCTTCAAGTATTCCATTAGATGATGAATATGTCAACTCAAAAGTGCTTGTCCTTTTCAGGTATCCTAGTACTCTACCCACTGCCTTCCAGTGCTCCGTCCCTGGATTAACTGTGTACTGACTCAATTTTCTTATAGCGAATGCGATGTCAGGTCGCGTGCAGTGAGTAGCATACATCATCCTTCCTAATGCACTAGCATATTCCAATTGAGCCACTGCTCGACCAAAATTCACCTTCAGTTTTACACTTGAATCAAAAGGAGTATTGAATTCCTTAATGTTCAAATGTTGAAACTTTGTCATAATTTTCTCTATGTAATGAGATTGACTCAGAGAAATCTGACCACCTGTCCTCTTCACCTTGATACCAAGAATAGTATCTACTTCTCCAAGATCTTTCATCTTAAAGTTCGAGGATAGGTATTTCTTCGTCTCAAGAATGCCTTCTAGATGAGTGCCAATGATCAGCATATCATCAACATAAAGACATATAACTACTATATAAGTAGGTGTATATTTAGAATAAATACACCTGTCAGCACTGTTGTGCTGAAAACCAAATGTTGTCACAGTGGTATCAAATCTCTCATTCCACTGTTTGGGAGCTTGCCTCAATCCATACAAAGACTTAACAAGTCTACACACTTTGTTTTCTTGTCCAGGTATTACGAAACCTTCAGGTTGCTCCAGGTAAATCTCCTCTTTGAGATAACCATTCAGAAAGGTTGTCTTCACATCCATTTGATGAATGTATAATCCTTTCAAAGGTGATATTGCTATGAGAGTTCTAATTGAACTAATTCTAGCAACTGGGGCATAGGTATCAAAATAATCGATCCCTTCTTGCTGCTTATAGCCCTTTGCAACCAACCTTGCTTTATAGGCAGATATGGATCCATCAGGATGATACTTCTTCTTGAATATCCATTTGGATCCTATGGGTCTTCTCCCCTTGGGTAGATCAGCTAACTCCCAAGTTCCATTACCCATAATTGAATCCATTTCATCATTGATTGCTTCCTTCCACAGAGGAGCATCCCGAGACGTCATGGCTTCAGTGAAGGTCTTAGGATCATCATCCAAATTAATTGAAAGGATGACCTCTCTCGTTACTTTCTTTTGTGTTCCTTCGACCAAATAAGAATAAAAATCATCTCCAAAGGTTTTCTCAATTCTAGCCCTAGTACTTCTCCTTGGTTCCTCCACAACGGGAGGAGGTGGTAGTATTTCTCGAGAGGTACTTGTAGGTGTTGTATGACTAGAGTTTTCTTCATCCATAGAAAACTTGTTCTCAAAGAATTCCACATCTCTGGATTCCACAACAACACCTGAATCAGTATCAAGTAACCGATAAGCCTTGCTATTTTGAGCATATCCAATAAATATACTCTTATTAGCTCGTGCTCCCAATTTGGTTCGCTTAGGATCGGGAGTTCGATAATAAGCAACACACCCCCACACTTTCGAATAGTCTAGGTTAGGTTTTCTACCTTTCCACAACTCATAAGGGCTTGTAGGAATCACACGACTAGTGATCCTATTGTGAACATAACAAGCAGTCAATAGTGATTCCCCCCACAGATTGTTTGGTTGACTCGATTGGTTCAACATACAGTTGACCATCTCACAAAGGGTTCGGTTCTTTCTTTCAGCCAAACCGTTCTGTTGGGGAGTGTATGGTGATGTTCTCTCATGTTTGATTCCATTCTCTTCGCAGAATGTGTCAAACTCTTGGTTGAAATATTCTCCGCCTCTGTCCGAGCGAAGAATTTTGATGTGTCTTTCAAGTTGATTTTCGACCTCAGCCTTATATCGTTTAAATGCATCAAAAGCTTCATCTTTTGATCTCAGCAAATAAACATGTAGATATCTACTGAAGTCATCACAAAATGTGATGAAATACCTTTTTCCTCCTCGAGTAAGGATTCCATTTAACTCACATATATCAGAATGAATCAACTCAAGTAACGAAGTGTTTCTCTTAACTGATGGAAATGGTTTCTTAGTGAACTTTGATTTTACACATGTTTCACATTTTTCAAAATCTTTTGTGTCATATTTTAACATACCTTTAGTTTGCATTTTTTCAATGTTTTTAACATTAGTGTGAGCTAAACGTTTATGCCATAAAGAAATTGAACAAATAATATAACAAGAAAAGTTCACTTCATTCACATTAGCAACCAATCCATCAATTACATCATTACCAACACTCGACACACTAGCAACACCACTCTCAACACTAGGACCACTCATATTACCCTCATCACGAAGACATAAACGATACATTCCCGAAGTATTGTTAGCCCTCCCAACATATCTTCTGGCTTTAGTGATCACAATTTTGCCTCTCTCAAGCACCATCTTGAACCCACCCTTGTCAAACTTGTCTGCAGAAACCAAACCCTTCGAGATAGTAGGAACATGAAGAACATCTCGAAGAGTCACCCATTCACCACGTGTGAATGTCAACCGAACATCACTCCTTCCTAGAACTTCAGCTCTATGACCATAAGCACAGACGACAACCATCCCATGAGGCATGGGTTGGTAGGTGCGAAAGCTCTCTCGTTGCCCACAAACATGCACAATGGCTCCAGTGTCCACGAACCAACCTCGAGCACAGATTTCTCGAGTAAGAGAGGAGATCATGAAAATCTCTCCAAGGTTCACACTAGCCACCATGTCAGTTACCTTCTCGACTGCATGTGCAACTGGTATGGATTTGCGATCTTTGCATTCTCTCGCATAGTGCCCAATCTCTCCGCAGACGTGCCAAGGACCGGCCCTTTTTGGCTTTGAGTTAGGATTTTGATGACCCGGTTTCTTGAAGCTTTGTTTCTTGGGCCCAAAATTCTTCTTGTTCTGTCCCCCAGATTTGCCTTTGTGGCTAGAACTCCCGGCGGCTGACACATGATGCACACTTTGTCCAACTTTACCTCGCTTGTGCCTGATGCGAGTTTCCTCCTCAATACGGAGGTGTTTCATCAGATTATCCAAGGAGTAGTCCTCAGATTTGTGCATCATTCTCTTAGAAAAATCTTTCCACGAGGGTGGCAGTTTTGCGATGATCGCACCAACCTGAAAGAGTTCTGGAAGAGAGATGGTGAGTGCGTTCAACTTGTTGACCATGACTTGGAGTTCATGCACTTGCTCCATAATTGGTTTGTCATCAACCATTTGAAACTCAAGGTACTTGGACACAAGGTACTTATTAGTACCTTCTTCATGTGCCTTATACTTGAGTTCCAACGCACTCCATAGCTCTTTAGGATCTTTGACCGGCGAGTAAAGATCATAGAGCCGATCAGATAGGGAATTCTTGATGTGACCTACACATAATTCCTCAGATTCTCTACGCAGAATCCTTTTTTTTTAGTTCTATAATGACTGCTGGGTCCATAGATTCCCCTTCCTTTGGAACTGGATAATCAGGAAATGGTGCCAGTTTTGGGTCCAACAAAAAGGAGAGCTTCAAGACATGAAGCATGAACTTGACCTTTTCGGCCCAACGAGTGTAGTTCTGACCATCGAATTGGTCAAGTTTGGCAAACTCTTGGTTCATGAAATGGACGCTAGCAGTAGAGTCCATTAGTCTATTGATTAATCACAATAAAATAAAAACCTTTAAGATTGTTGTAAATAACAAACTAATAGACGCGCAAGGAAACCGACAAATAATATTGAGAATTATATGTCGATTAGTTACGAATAATAGATCCAATTATTATTATTATTATATTTACCGAGTTTCGTCCAGAAACCAGATCTATCCTTCTCGATTAGATCCGATTATAAGAAAGGTAGAAGAAGATTGTCCTGTTATTGGACGAATTAAACACAAAACAGAAAAGTAAAACCGACATGTTGATTGCTGATCTTGATCTTGAAACAACTGCACGGATCAGACTCCTGTCCTTAAAGGTTTTTACTTCGCTTGTACTGGCTGTAAGCAACAGAGTAAAACCCCAGGATTTAATGCAACTTTATCGATAGTCCAACAACACTGGAAATCGATAAACACAAAAACCGACTACTTGGAAACTAGGGAAAAAATGCAGAGAGAGGGAGGAAGCTTTCAGATTTCGAGAGTATCCATATGGCTCCTAGGGAGCTGTATTTATAGGTATCGTAACCCTAGAAGGCATCAAACGGGCCCCCATAGGTCGGCCCCAGAAACCCTAGGGCGACAGCTTGCTCTCCAAGCAAGCCGTTTCCTGATCCTTCTAGAATACCCTGACTTGGCCTCCACAAAGTCAACGGCGGTCAACCATTTGACCGGATCGGTCAAACTGGCTTAACCCGAACTCGTCAAAAATAAAAGCTCCTCAACTCCCAGCGACCGATGCGTCCTGCGAAGTGCGCCTAAATCACGCCATTTCGTGCACTCGCAGCGTCGGCTAGTGCTAGGCTAGGCTAGGCGCGCGCGTGGGCTTGGCCCATTCCTTTGATCCACTAAAGCCTTTGAAGGCTTACCAAGGGAATAGACTTATAAACCCACAAAAGTTTCTTCCCCCCACCAATGTGGGATACAAAGGAAATTGCCAACTTGCAATTCCTTTATATATAAAGTTCCAACCGTAGATAATCATCAAGTCTCAAGTCGTTTTTGTCATCTATATACCCATTTGACCTGAAATGACTAATCTGACCCCCGAATCTAGTAGGGAGCTTTGAAGTATTGAATTTATCTATTAACTTGATCCCGTTTCCCCCAGCTAAGAGTTTTTGGTAGTAGGTATCAACATCATTTCCATATACAGAGACTAGACCCATACCCGTAACAACCACTCTTTTTTTTGCATCTTTTTTTGTCATTTCGGGGATGTTGTAGATATGGTAGAAGTTAATATGTAGTGGCGTTTTGTAGTGATGAGTGGTGGTGATTTCATAGTTATATGTGAAGTATTCTTGTAGATTGGAGATAACAAGTGTGATGTTAGCCTTAGAAGAGTTAGAGTTTCCATTATTGTCTAAAGTGATATGTGAGCATATGTAGAGAGAGATACGAATGTAAATCGAGAATTTTAGTGTTGCAAATAGTGCTGTCTTACTTCAACAGTTCAAACACCATATATATACATGAACATACCAAGGCACAATTTAATAAATTCCACTACCACGGGTTAGTATATATTTATAAAGAAAGCATTTTTTCTTTCACCACATTCATTTGAAACTCTCATAAAAATTTTTCTTTCACCACATTCATTTGAAACTCCCATGACTTTTCAATTCTTTTTTAATAATAATTATAATTGGTTAATTAGGTTAAATAAATATCAAACCTAAACTGTAATCATATTTAAACTAAATTTCAATATTAAAATAATGTATTTACTACTACTTAACAAAGTTAAGTTTTTTAACTTTTAACATATTATATTTAATTTATTAGTTTTAATATATTGTTGGATGTAAACCATTATCATTTTAAAGATACAATTTTAGAACAATTTGTATAAAATATTTCAATTATTAATTTAAATTTAATATGATTGGGTCAACTTAAATATAAATTTTAGTTTAACTTAAACAATCCAAAGAATATTATGTAAATAGTTAAAAGTTATAATTTGTAGTGTTTTTCTAATAATGATTATAAGTTGGTTAATAAGGTTAAATAAATATCAAATCTAAACTTTAATCATAAATATAAATTTCAATTTTAGAATAATATATTTATTTCTACTTATAAATTTATGTCTTTAACTTTTAACATATTATACTTAATTTATAAAATTTAATATGTTGTTATATGTAAATCATTATCAATTTAAAGCTACAACTTTTGAATAGTTTGGACAAAAATACTTAAATTGTTAACTTAAATATAATATTACAATGTCAAATTAAATATAAATTTCAATTCCACTTAAAAACCGAAAAGTATTTTATAAATAGTTAAAAGTGATAAATGCAAAAAACTAAATTGTAATCTCAATTAAAGTAAAATATTTCTTAAAGATATTTTTATAATCGTTAAAAGTTTTCAAATAATATCTTAAAATAACTTACAATAGTAATAGTTAAAAATAATTCTATATAAATGATTATATTGTTACCTTTAAAATCAAAAAATAATATTTGATATTTTAAATAGTTATAATGATAGAAATTAAAACATTACACAAATAAATTTTAAAAAACTAATTAACCTTAACAACAACTATAAATAACATTAAACCATATTTTATATTTAATTTTATTCATGTGTAAGTTGCGGGTATAAATCATTCAAACGATTAAGATTATGAACTTATAATAGATGTATATATTATCATATAATTCAAAATAATAAATATATTATATCAATTTAATATACAAATTATTATATCAAATTTAACAACAACGTTATCATTATATTAAAAAAACTTATATTTATAAAGATTTCAACTATATGGGTGAGTGTTCCTGCGCAACGCGCGAGCATTCATCTAGTATTATATAA